AGCTGACAGCAGTGTGAGAGATGCAAACTGGAACACATACATTGAACAAGCATTCTGTTATAAATCATGCATGCATTTAAGTCAGGAAAATGATGGTTGATGTCCTTCTCATACACAAACCAATCATCATGGTGCAAATATGCTGTCCTCCTCAGGGTAGGGAATGCATGATAGAGAACAGACATCTGCCTTTGTACTGAGAGCCATGAATCGCCAAGTCTGACCCTTGGGGGATGCGCAAAAAATTGTGTTTCCTGAGCTGTATCTTTCACTCTTTCCCTGTTCCTAGACTTCTGCAAGCTCAACAAGTTTGTCTACTCCTCCTATCATGGCCATTTGCAGAGTGCAGAGCCCTTTTAGTTACCAGAAAAAATGTCCACAGAAATCTTCCTGAACATGATAGGAAAGATGCCCTGTGGAAATCAGTAACTTACTGTCCTTGATGATCTCCTCATGAATGTTTACAACTTGGAACAAAGAATGTGGCACCAATTGACAGTGGCACTTCTCTTGATCCCCCGGATGCTGCCTGGTCCACAGTTTGGTGTCTTGAAGTAGCAAGCTCACCAGTCTGTCACTAGGTGGTCCTTAAAGGATGCCATATCTACAATGAACACTCTTATTTGTGGAAACATCGATTTATGACATCGTTTAGTCTCGCATCACTAAGAAACATAGGTTAGATATTTTAATTAAGTAATTTGTGTTCTAGTGATGTCTAATTCCACAATTTTCTGAATCTGTTAACATTTGATCATCAATTCACAAAGATAAGCTACAGGATCAACAATCCATGGAAAAGCTTCAAATAAGAGATAAGAATAATTTCTTATTGAACAAAATCAATTCTGCCTTACCTTCTTTCTTTATGTATTACTTTGAGAAATTCTTTACTTTTATCGTGTATAAAATGCTTCAGAAAACTGATGTGATACCTAAAATTTACGACGGAACTGATTAAATACTTGCATATTTCCTCTCCTAAACATAAAGTTTTCTTGTATGCTTTAGAATAACAAGAAGTTGACACGCTTTACAACCTTTTAGCTTTGGATGGATGAGACTTTGAACTTTCTTCGGTACAGATGAGCAGATATATGAGAGATAGCTACTTCATGTCTCATGCAAAATTATGACACATTTCAGCAATAAGCACAAAATTCCTGGTGCAACTTGAAACGATCTACACACATCAAAGACACTTTATTTCCTTGTTGACTCTCTCCCCCTCACCTGATTCAATTCTGGAAGTTGCATTTTTCCTCCTACATCGATGATGACGGAAACAACCAAATTTAAGCTTGAAATATAATTGGACTAGTGCTAATGCAGCAGCAATTTTCACAATTTACCAGGAGAATTATAGAGGGTGCTCTAGATAATAGACCGAATCGAAGAGACTAATGAAAGTGGTGGTGATCTGGCCATGACCAGAGTGCAGATTGATCTCCCATGCTGCCCAACAAGTTGCTGAAGCTGACTTCTGGGGCTTCATTCTCTACCTTGGCACATTGGAATTCTGGCTTGCAGGAGTTGTGGAGGAGCTGGTTTATGTCGGCTGGCCTAATTGATGGGAAGTATGGCAAGATTTGGTGAGGAGGCAGGGAGCTCTCAATCACTGATGTTCTTGAGATATCTATGTTGATCTCTGAGCTGTTCTCACTTCTATTGCTGCAAGAACCTTCAGTTTCTTTGTTGAGATTGATCATATCTGATGTTTCTGTACCTCTGAATGCCAAAATCTGCGCATTTGATTTGGCTTACGACATAGGAATATGTATGAAACAACCAGAAATTACTTGAACAAAATCTTAATGATCATATAAATAGAAAGAGACTAACAGGAACAGACATGTTCATACTCCACAATCTAATATAGGAAGAGTGGCTACTTAAGATAGATGGTGTCAAAATTTTTGACCCCGAGTGCATCACCTGTCAATCTTTTCTCTACAGTTGATTGCGTGAGGTGGATGGAGCCTTACTGATGCTTGATAGGTCATATATCACAGATTGAAGATGTCCTGATCAGAAAGGGATCTTTTCTTTTCTTCTTCTTTTTGATGAAAGATCCGAAAGGGAATCAGGAAAGAGATTTCAAATTGTTGCCATTGTCTTCACATCAATACCAAATGATCAAGTTGGTTTGTTAGATTATCATTACTCCTGTGATTGATATTGACTTATTTGATGTGATTTTTTTTGTTTCTTTTTCTTTTATTAGTTTTATTCTGGTTGGTTCCAAGGAGCTCATTTCTTTGTATCTTTTGTGGCTCATTTGCAAGCATCAGTGTCCTGCAAAATTTCATCTGATGCAGAAGTTTCCATGTCCTCTGGATGAGTATCAAAAAGGAAAAGGTAAAAGTCTTCATCATGATCTCCAGATCTTTCTAGTACCATTTCATAGCTAAAAAGATGGTTGTGTTTGGCACAATAAAGGAGACAAGGAAAGGAATCAAAATAAAAGATAGACACAGTAATGATTCACCCAATCATTATGAGTTCATTTCTAATCTATGAACAGGCATCTTCCTCAAAAGACTCAAAACTACTCATGCAGAAATGAATAGATTTAAGTTGAGAAGTTCATCATATATTTATATATAGATTGAAGAAAATTGAGACATACCTCAGCTCGGAGTTTCTTGTTCTGGGATTGGAGAGCCTCGTTCTCTGTTTTGATGGCCTCAAACTGCCTCTTGAGCACATCATAGTCCTTCTCCAATTGCTTCGTCTTCCACCTTGCTCGCCTGTTCTGGAACCAGATGGCCACTTGCCTCGGCCGCAGCCCAAGAGCCCTGGCCAGCTGCATTTTCCTCTCAGGCTCCAGTTTGTTCCCCAGCTCAAAGTTCCTCTCCAATGTCCTCACCTGCTCTATGTTGAGCCTCTTCTTCTTCTCCCCTGCTTGCCAACCATCATCCGACAAGTCATCGTCGGCGTTCATCTCCTCGCAGCTCTCGATCCCCGGGAAGGATATGGATCTCTTCCCCATCACCGGAGCCACACCTGCACCACCAAATCAAGTAAAGCACAATTGAGTCACTTCCACCTGAGGTTGGAGGTTCGGAAATGGTTGCCACAGACCACCTCTGAGGTCTTGCGGACCGGTATGGAGGAGGGAGCCGAGAGGGGCTGTGAGTTGGTTCCCTTCTTCATAGGGTGTCTCCGTATGGAACATGAAGTTCGAGGGGAAGGAGGAGGAAGAGGCCATTCCATTGCAGGCCATCATCTGCTACAGGGTAGAGAGGTCACAGAGCAAGAACATGGTGGAAGGGGGGAAGGAAGAAGGATGGTTTGAGGTCGATGGCTGGGAAGATGGACACACAAACTGCAAAAATACTGTACAGAGAGAAGAAGAATATGCAATCAGTTATAGGCAGCGATGAGATCAAATTAAGATTAACATGAGATGAAGACGAGAAGTAAAAGTCTGCGTGGAAAGATCTACGAATGTTAACAATGTTTACGTCCAGAATTGACAATCTCTATCAGATTCAATCGACTAGTCTGCTTCTCATAAATAATGTTATCCCGATCGACAGCCATCTTTATAATCTGTGGTTAATCACTGTGGACACAGTCCACACCTTATTCCAAACGAGATGAACGGAGTTGGATACTTCCAATGGCTTGCTTGGTTCTTTCCCTGCAATGTGATGCAGACAGATGGGTACTTGAATTCTTTTGACAGAAGTTGCCATGTCCATCTCAACGAAGCTGTATTTTGTGGTGTGGAGTGTTAAGTGGGCAGCCATGTGAAAGAGAGACCGATATCATATTAGGGAAAAAGAACAGTAGTAAGATTCTGCCAGTGAAAGGTGGGATTTTACTGGACAGAAAAAGGGGGAGAAAGATCACAAAGGAAATGGAAGAATAAGCTGGCCATAGATTGGAAAGTGTATATAAAAAGATTGGCACTTTGAGAGAAAGGAAAAGGGGATGACAGGAATCTAAGGATGGGTCCTCAAAGTTGCAGCCTCTGCTACCTAACACACATGCAGCTCATCATGCACCTGATTCACCCTCAACACCAACACCAAACTCCATGAGAGGTGGGTGCTTATTTTATTCTTGTTTCTTCTGCGCCCCTGTGCATGGCTATCTTGGTGGCAAAAGCTGCAGTCCCACCATTGCTCATCCCTCCCCCCTCCCTTCTCTCAAAGAATCTGTGTGCCAACCATCCCAACTCCATGTCTCAGCATTTCTGAGACTATGATTATTTTTATCATTATTAATCTCTCTATCAACAATGCGATTTGGAGTAGCAGACGTACTTTGATTATCGCAAGGAGAATTGTTAGCTCTTATGTCACGAGAGCAATAAAGAAGTAGCATGAAATCTTCAATGAAGTTTTGTTTCTGCCTTCCGAGAAGGCCTGCTGGTCCATCTCGGTTTGTTGATTTCCCATCAATGCGCTTGTCTTTGCACGACTCTGCTATTTCTGCTGTTCTTGACTCATCTGTGCTGTGTTCATCTGTTTCTTCTGTGGTTAGATCTTAAGATCGGAGTGATGAATCCTACTGTAAGTTCATGTTGTTCATGTAAACCACCATTCTCTGTCTCTCTCTCTCTCTCTCTCTCTCTCTCTCTCTCTCTGGTTGGCTTTACAGGCCAACACATGGCTTCCCACCTAAAGCCATTTCATATACGAGGAAGAGCCATGGATGCAGAATAAACTAGTCGTCGAACCTTCTTCAACCACAGTTTCACATGCCAACCATATGTGGATTCTATTAAGAACGAATGATGCTTGGAGAGACGCTATTCTTTCTTCCACCTCCCTCCTCTTCAATCTAATTGCAATCTACCTGAGCTGATGCGCCAATGTGCAGAAAATTCTGCTACATTGTCTGCTAAAATTCTTCTTCGATCGAACTAAAGATGCATGTTCTTGCAAGCCACGGAGGAGATCACGCTCAAGAAGATGATCCAAGAACAGATTGTGATGCTTTGCGCTCACTCAACTCAGAGAACTCGAGATAGAGCATCAGATAAAAACTAGAACCAAAATAATTCAATCGTAGCACAAGATCCTAACTGCAATTCTGGTTCCCTAAGCAACAAAAAAAGCCTAAAAATGACAATACCAAAAGAACACGGCAAGAACCGACACGTTTTCGTGGAGCCGTCATCATGGAGCGCGAGGGTCGCCGATGGTTATTTCACCAAGCTGGAAGTTGGATCAGTGTCCACCAGCCATACCAACACTCTTGAAGTTCTTCCTAGAGAGCCTTGGAAGCTTTAACATTCCGACCACGCCGGCAACGAAGGCGATTGCAGATGCCAGAGCGAAGGCAGGAATGTTCCCCTTCCCGAAGAGAGAATCCCATGGGCCTGCACCGAGAGCTATGATCACCTACATAGATCAGAAACCATCATATGTTAGCAGAAGCTAAGAATACAATTACACACTTGTAAATTAATTCATGTTTCTCTGTGAGCAGGTCAAGAACAGAGATCAGGTGGATGATGGTGTCATCAAGAAGAAATTTAGTAGCATGTCAAAACCAACCTGCGGGATGACAACCGAAATGTTCAAAACTCCAGTGCAAAGCCCTGCAAAACAGCCAAATTTAGCTGCAGAAATCGATCGATGAACTATCGTCTCTTGGTGAACGAAACGCGTGGGAGGGACTGACCTTGGCCGCCACCCTCATTCACAACCAACTGTGCTGTAACAGCAAAAGGAACACTGTACAGAACCTACAAAAGAGAATCAGCAACGTGCATGTTAGCGTTTGGAACCCATTGATAAGTGTCAGTAGAAGCTTGGGAATGCTGATACTTACAGCAAGAGGAAAACCAAGAGCTGCAAATGTGGCCAGAGCTGCAGCTCTCACTTCACCATCTGCTGTGATCACGTTCTGGACTGAGCCATGGAAGTTTCTAATGGACCAAGTACTTATGATTGTAGTGCCAGCCATGCCGGCAAACATGGTCATGTTGCTGATCACCCAAACAATTCTTGGAGTCAACTTTCGGCACATTGGTTCGATCAGTAAGGAAGTGATCATCAGCACAACCTAAGAAGAAGAAGAAGAAGAAGAAGAAGGTAATCCAGTTGTTAGGAAGATGAGAACGTGAAAGAACATAGTCAGCCATCATCTCCAGTTTTCTCACCGAATTCAGCAGCAAACCCAATGCGCCTTGTCGAACACCGCGATCATAAGCATCGATCTGCGCAGGAGTTCCACTTGGGTTTCCATGGTAGACTTCGCGGCCCATCCAATCGGTGTCGTAAAGGATGAAAGGAAACCATGAAAGCTGGAAGCAAACAGAAAAAGAACTGTCAGGAGCTCCTCTGGAATGCAGTCTTCACGGCACTTAAATCTTCATATCCATACCCAGGTGAGGGAAGTGACAAGGAGGACCGAAGGCATTCCCGGAGGCAAGTTCTTGAAGGCCTTAAAGATATCGATAAAGCTGACTCTATCCTCATTCTGGCTCTGCGCTTGACCATCTTTCGAGTTGAGCTTTGCGCCGGATTGAGCAGGATCACCCAGAGGAACCTCCTTAGCAACAATTAGAGTCACCACCAAACAGATGAGAAGAAAGACCTGTTGACAATCAACTTCTTCAGCAACAATTTCTCATTCAGGATCTAACTCTCGTGCACAGAGATTCTTCTGATAAGACCTACCACAGCAATCAGAAATGCACCCTTCAGGTTTGCACAAGCTTCACAGCAAGACCTTGTCAACAAGAAAGGGAACCACCTTCACCACATTCAAACAAAAGAGATTAAGAGTTCTTGTTGGAAATTTTGGATTATACACATGTAGAAACGTCGATGATCATTTAATCTTATGGATCTGTAGACGTACTTGTGCCAGGTTCCGCTAGAACCAGAAGAATATCCTAAGATGTTTCCGACAGCCATCCATGAACAGAATATAGCATTTGCTGCGTTGCATCCATGAGTTCCTGTCGCACAAATAAGCACCAGATCGTGCCATTAGAAAGCATTCGGTATCGAATTGTTGGAGATGCTCTAAACTTGAAGATGCTCACCCGAGAGATCAGCCATGAGCGCCCGAGCTGGACCCTGCAATAAACATGTTGCCATGACTCACGACTCAAATGGAACATAGGAAGACATTGATGGTTGGAACTCGATGAAGCTTACTTGAACTGCATTATTGGAAAGATCCAGTAACCAGAATCCAAGAACATAGACTATCGCTGCATGCCACCGAGGACCATGATACACACTGCATTCCCACAAGGATCGCATGTGTCAATCAAAGATACGAAGCTCATGCAACGGGAGAAGAAGAAGCTCACCTGCAATGCTCTTTCGTGTCACCAAGAGCATGTCCAATGTCAGAAGAAAACCCGACCACGATCACCTGGAGCACCAACGTAGAAATCCATGTAAGAAGATCAAGTTATCAGTGGCAAGATACGAAGACTGATGATAACAGTTGCAGCACTCACAGCAACACAGATCATTGTGCATCCAGCGAGGAGGAAAGGCCTCCTCCTCCCAAACCTCGAACGACATTTATCGCTCCACAGGCCAACGCAAGGCTGAACCTGTTCACCAGAATCAAACAGTGGTTGAAGTCACTCAACAACAAAGACAAGGAGATTGAAATCTGAAATACTTACCACAAAGCCTGCAACAGGGCCACAGAGCCACATGATAGAGGAGAGAGCATGCGAGAGTCCCAACGTCTGCATCGATAAGCGCAAGAACATTTGTTAGTCAAACAGATGTACACGTCAACCCTGGAAACCTGTCAGGACCGATGTCACCTTTCACAGACCAAGAAAACAATTCTACGTTCCTTCCTCTTCCATATGCTTACGTTCCCTAGACGTATAACCGATGTATGTGCAGTAGTTATTCCTCTCTCTCTCTCTATCTCTATTCTCTTGTTTCTTGTATTGCAATATGATGAGAAATTCTCATCAGACTTGCTCAAACGAATGTAGAAAGAACAAAGCAAGGAGGAAGTAAACATCTGCATGCAGGCGGAGTAGTCGCACAGCAGACGCAGAGATGCGTTTCGTCTCGAGGTGTACCTGCACGTAAGGCGTGAGGAGGGACAGTTGCAGCGCCCAGCCGTATTGCACCCCGCCGGCGACCATGCACGAGAAGATGAGCCTCACCAAGCTTATCTGCTGCGGCGCCGGGCCGGCCGCGCCGTTGTCGTCGCCGTTGGAACCCGAGAGCTCCACCTCGCCGCCGTGGCCTCCCCTCCTGCGCCCCGGCATCCTGGTCTCCCCCACCTGCTCCCGCACCCTCACTGTCGCTTACACCAGCGGTCGGTCCAGCAGCAAACGCCTATTCAGATCCGTGATTGATGGCGTGGAGAAAGATGGGTGCGAGACTCGGATATGGTCTCAGCACTGCAGAGGCGCGGATTTAAACGGGCGAGCCGCGGTGTGGTGCCCCTCGGCGCATCTCTGTGTCGACAGATGGAGTCCATTCCTCAGGTTTGTAAGCTGAGGTCGCCTGTTCGTAGCAGTCCACGTCGATGGTTCACGACAGCCTCAGAGCGGTCTAAGGAGCACCATTCACCTGGAACGGATAAGCATCCGGTGCTGCATTTTTCCTACTCCTTTTTTTCCCACACGCTTTCTTTACCTGCTACCGATCAAAGGATCCCACGGGCCCCACCTGTGAAGATCCAATCACAAAGCGTCTCTCGCAAGGATATCGTCGCCATTCCACAGGTGCCGATTCTACGCCGCTCTCGGCTTCCAGCTCGACACCGTCGTTTGTTTTGGTCAAATCACCCACAGGATATATATCCTTTATCCGAAAAAGACGGACGTTGGAGATTAGAAAACGGAGTAGAAGTGGACGGCTCAGACTACTCCATGCGCACAACCATCGAGTTTTGTGCTTCATTTCACTCCATAATTGCGTGCAGGCTCACTGCGCAGTGTGGCTAAAGGATAAACCCAACCATTGACCAATGTGGTTTGCCATCCCCCTTCCGTCACTGTGACTAGTGACAGAGGTCAGCAGCGTTGCAGGCAAATTAAGTGCTCTCATGGTTCATGGATTCATGTGATCTCCTGCTGCGACTCAGAGAGAGAGAGAGAATCATAAATGCATAGCAGAAGGCCAAATGTGGTTTGTCATCCGCAGATAATTATAATTGATGAATCTACAATTATGTTTCAAGAGTTTCACATTCCTAACTTATCTCGTCATTAAGTTAGGAATATGATGGTATTCACACAATTAATTTTCATAATAATTATGTCCCTTAGTCAAATAATTTTACTTTAATTAGATCATTTTAATTTTAGCTAATAAAAATAATGACTTAACATATTTAATTATACATGTATGACTCTTAATATTCTAATATATCCATGACTCAGCTGCTTACAATTTTATTCTTACGTAGATATCGAAGATGAATGAGTTGTTACATTCTTACGTAGATATCGAAATGAACATTACATGAATCAAACACACTATCGACCCATACTTCGAACCTAACTTTGGTATCTCAGTGCATTTGAAAGAGCAACGTAGAACGGCACCCACATCAATATCCATATCCATATTCGAAAAATTAAAGACAATAATAGAATATGGAAAAGCATGTAGAGATCTGACATGCACACCTTTTATATCAACAATTCCAATGGATAAATGGTTTCTCGAAAACATGATGGGATCGGTTCTGATTCTTCGAACCACTAATAAAAGATCGAGTACGTACATGCCCACATAATGGTGCGTCAAGGAGTGTGCCGTGGACGTACGTATGGAAGCCTTGGATTGTGGGCCGAGATGCAACTCGATCGAAACAATAATTGAGTCGATTTATCCATACGCTGATCGAGGAGGTCACAAGGGTTCTAACATCAATAAACTTCAATCTTCATTTATGCATCCATGGGACCATATTATCCGTAATATATATATATATATATATATATATATATATATATATATATATATATATATATATAGTCTTTGTTCTGATTTAATTATCAGAATTAGACTAAAAAATAAATTAATCAACTATGATTGTTGCTGAGTCACTGGTTAAATGGATGGATCAATCGTTTTTAGAAGTCAAATTCTATATTTAGGTAATATAAATATATACAGTAATTTAAAAACAGTAGAATATCAAGTACTAAGGGTTATTATTTGATTCTGAGGTTTGGAGACTCCTTTCGGGTTTTTAATATTTTGTTACAAAAATAATAATGACAATATAGTCAATCATAAGTACTAATTATTTGGGATATTTAAATCTTGATTCATAGTTTATCTTAAGACTTATTATTTAATTCTAACCATCATATCTATAGATATTTTAGGTACATACTCATATCATCTTAAATGATTTCTTCTTTTTTTATTCTAATATTTTATTATATATTTTTAAATAGATCAATGATTGCTTAGAATAAAGAAATATTTTAAGTTATTATTGTAACCACTATAGGATAAAGAAAGATTTTATTTTGTTTTTCTTAAAATTGGATTGAATCGTTCGATTTGATTCTGATAACTATGGTTGTAGGGAATTATAACACCTATTGTTTATGCAATTAAATACTACTTATGTTTGCATAGTATTTATTGTATATGGTCCAAGGTATTGAATTGGGTCAAATTCAGAGAGGGTGCAACTTTGTGGTGGGGGACATAAAGCTTCACATCAATCCAAGTCAATTGTGGAAAGTCATCAAGATTTCACACTACATTTGTCTTCACAATGGCAACATCAAAATTCCATGTGAAAAAGACTTTACACAATCTCGGCATGTTTGCACTTCTTGCAATCAAGAAGAGGATAGGGGATGAAGACTTGCTGTTTTGTCAGTGTCGTTCTAAGATTTGGTTCCCAAGAAATAATGTTGTCCTTGATGGATTGCATGTTTCGGTCCTAAAGTGATCTTGAGCCATGATCAAGTCCATGCATCTACGAGGCAAGTTGGTATGAATTTGATTGTATATTCATCACACTGCTGATGATTGTTGTTAGCTTTTGGTGCCGGTGACCTTTGTAGAGGTGGTGGATCAGCTCGACCTGGTTCGAGATTACAGCCTTGACGAGGTGCCAAAGCCCCTCTTGAGATGGTTGGTGATGCACGAAGATGACTATGATTGTTCCTAGCTTTTGGCGTCGGCGACCTTCGTTGAGGTGGTGGATCAGCTCGACTTGGTCCGAGATTGGAGCCTTGATGAGGCGTGAGAGCCCCTCTTGAGATGGTTGCTGATGCGCGAAGGTGCGCGAGTGTCTAGATCGAAACGAGCTCCAATGTCTTTTGCTCCCCATGTAGTAGAGAGAGAGAGAGAGAGAGAGAGAGACATGCAGTAAAAGAATATATATTTGGAAAATAATTTCTGACATGATCGATCTGCACAGCTCGTGTATCGAAGGCGAACATTTCCCTTACCAAGTGCCCTTAAACTGTCAATTGCAATTTAGTGGTGGCCGATGATTGAAGCTTAGAACTTGCGAGATGAGTACTACGATCGTTCATGCAAGAAAGATGAAGCACGGTTCGATGCATCAGATAACTCCCGGAAATGAGTTTCGATTTCATGTTCCTCAACAGTAATGTAGTTGAGTGCTACTCTCGTGAATGGTACATGAACTATGCATGTAGCATAGATCGTTTCACATGAACAGGCTCCTAATGATCGCGGCTTGATCGCTACTTACGCCTGCAGCGTCGAGCAACTCCGACAGCCTCTCACTCAAGTCGTCGACCTCCCGATGCAAGCTTCTGATGTAGCTGCACGTATCCTGCAACACCTTCGCTGCTGAAGCCTGCACCCACAACGATCAAAACCATGATCACACCCTAAACCGAGAAGCTGAAGAAAGGAAGCTCCAAGGATGGCCGGCCATGGAGCTGTCTCCCGGCAGCCTTACCCTGTCGTGGCTCCCAAGTCGTGCTTCATGGAGAAGCGATTGCAGCTTCGACATGAGGTCGTCGATCTGTTGGTCGGTGATCCTTCCCGAGCTGGACTGCCTCGATCGGGATCTCCTGCTGGACATCTTTTGGCTATTTGTGTCCCTCGAATTCTGGGCGATCTATAAATATATAGAAGGGAGAGATCAAAGCCTAAGAGGCAATGCAAGGGGAAGTCGTTCTTGTAGGGTGAGGATGGCGAGTGGAGTTTGAGGACAGGTGACTGTGAAGAAAGGACAATATGCGAAAGAGAAGTCACGAGGGATGTACGACAGAGAAAGAGAGAGGAAGGGAGGGAGGTAAATGGAGCAGTGGAGCAATACAGGAGGTGCGATGAGGAGGAAGACAAGTGCATGAGAGAAAGAAATGGGCAAGTGCTGTATAAAAATAGTGATGCAGGACGAGAGAGAAAGAGGGGGAGGATCGCACCATGGGATTCTCGCCACGCTGTGCCACTCTGATGTGTCTGCAAACTGGGGCCATCTTGTTCTGCGATCTGCTCATCTCATCGCTCGAGGGAAGAAAGCAGCTGGAAGATCTTTGGGCTATGAACTAAGCTTAATCTCAAAGCATAGATCTTGTGGACGTCCTATCAATAAAAAAGGACCAGCATAAAGAAAACGAGTTAAAGGTGTTCGGATCCGTGACTTGTTTAAAGGAAAGAACAACTTATAGTTCTTCATCTTCTCTCTAGGTCTCGTACTTGAATCATAAGAGGAGAAGCTCCTCTCGGGCACAGCTAAGAGACGCAGAGAGCAGCTGCATGTGGCAGTCAAAGGAAGACGCCCAATCAGCTCCGCTGTTTCCTACAAGAGACTTGCTGCCGCGTGCATCACGAGGCACATGAGTTCCAACCGATGGACAGCGAGGTCCCTAAGGAACTCGTGAGGCATCATGGTTTCTTTAATGCATGGATCTCGTAAGCGTAGGTCGAAGCAATCACGCAAACACCTTGTTTATCCTAAGAGGGATCCCGTGAGTTGGGGATTCATGCTGCTTTCAGGTCTTAAACTCGACAGAAGGGTAGCCCTTCATCTCACGGCTCACACTGATCGAAGGCGACGAATGACTTGGTGTGGATCCTAACGAGAGCGACGAAGAAGTGGTTGTCTAACCCTAGAAGAAGGACAAGATAACCCAGATTGGTTGCATTTGACCAGTTGAATTGATTACATGCATTGCACGTTGAACAGATCTTACTACGGAGACAATACTTCTGCTTCACCTGCTTCTTCAGCTGCAGGTGCTTGTTGTCACCTCTCTCTCTCTCTCTCTCTCTCTCGATGATACATGGCTTACACCTTTGATCGTGCGGTCATCACTCGGATCTCAACACAATCGATCAAGATCATGTGCACACCTCGTAGCCTCCACAGTTCCATACCCTGACGTTCTTGCTTGGAGGTTGCGGATAATTGATGAAAGCATTCTCTCTCGCCTCCATTCGATCCAAACTAAGTGATCAAGTGTCACTTGATCTCCAAGAACTCGATCATGGTTATCATGGAGAAAACCACTTTTACTTCAGCCCGTCTTGTTCTCTCTCTTAGATTCTGAAGGTAGTTCCTCCATTATTTAGGCCTTTATACGTGAGGGATGTTCGACAATGACCTAATCTTAGAACAGAATTTTCTTTTCTTCTTTCTTTAGCTCACAAGTTTTTATAGCTCTATTGTTCGAGTCGAGTTCGATTACCGACTGATTTTTCTACAAAGGATTTTGATCCCTTTTTTCACTATAAATAGTCAAAAAAAATTTTACCAATAAACTAGCTGACGTTCTTGAAAATTTTCAGATAAAGTTTCAATTCCTCGATCCGATGAATCTAGTAAACCACCATTAAATGTATAAATGAACGGAAAACTTATACAAACATACTCTTTATCCATCAAAATACTTGTGAAGATAACACAAGCATCCTCTCATACAACCCAATCTTGAGTGCTTCTGTAGTGAATATAGGGCATTTCATATATTGTAGGGCTTAGGAGATTGAACACTGCTGCAGGAACATTGCAGAAGTTGAAAGGCTTTTGACACTGCCTTTTGTATCAGCCATGGGTGCCATTCTACCTAAACAAAGTGCAAAAGATATTATGTTTATTACTCTAAGAGAACAAAACAAATACCTCGATTGAGTTGGTAATGATCAAATCCATCCCACATGGATCCACATGCCGCATCAAATATCATCACAGGTCCAGTGTTTTGCCACAACACATACCAAAATAAATAGCATGAGATTCCACTGCTGTTTCTTGTTTGCATAGAAAAACCTGCTGCATCATCTTTAATTTTCTCATTTATTTCTGAAAGTAATCAACAAAGAAGATCATGAGATACATATTGGTGTTTCTATGAATTGCCTATGGTTTTCACTCGTCTTCCTCGAGAGAATCTCTTTCAGAAAAGAACAACTTCCATAACATGATAAAGGAAACATTGGATGAATGCATAACTGTAACTATCATCATGATGAATATGCTACGAGGTAATTGAAGTACGAGTTTCCTTTTCCTGGGGCACGAACCTCACTACGGACGTTTACAACTGGAGATGGAGTACAACAGTCTCTCATGTTTTCTTGCTGAGACAGCTTTTCTCTGTCATGGTTTGGCTTCCTATTTGCTGGACGAAACGTACACTTCAGCCAGCATCAGTCCAAGATATGAGCAGCTCAGCATATCTTGGATCTATCATCTTCATTCATGCTCTTAGCTTTTAAATTGGCCTCTTCCTGAAAAAGCTGTACACAACAATTATTCAGCAGATCGTTTGGGATGCGAACTAGCATATAATTTACCAACCAACCATACTAATTTACAGTTGCATGAAGTCACTACCCACTCCATGCATTAATGCTTGATTTCATTTGAAATTAATATCAGAGCAATCTTCATTAACTTTTTCTAATGCACTACTGCATATAAACTACTCTTGCTGAGACACTCTGTAGTCAAGATGATGCCAAATCTTGAGTTTGATTCGTCAGATATGGTCATCTACATATTCTTCGGTCCATCTACAGTAGATTGAAGAAGAACTATTATGATATATATAGAGGTTCTCTAGGTTTAGTCAACTAAAAAAAAAAAAAGAAATTTAACCCATTTTTCTTTCGATTTCAATTGCAGATTCAGAAAGCCCCCTCTTCGGAATTTCCTTTCTTGATTCACAGTGCTTTAAAATGGAGAGGGGCATTAGTTTTATAGGTTCATTAGATATCTTTTATATTAAGAATAAAATTATATAAGACTATTGTTAGACCAATAATGCTTTATAGATCTTACGACCAAGGGTATGCTTTTTTCAATATTTGGAACCTTTAATCACCCTTAAAAAGATGACATATTATAAGTATTGAAAATGAAAAAAATTATCAATATTGATATTTTTTAATTTGTATTTTGGATATAAACATTTAATGAATATGAATGAAATTTTGCCGAAGGCATGATGCTGAAATAAGGTTTTCGTAGTGAACTGGTGCAGAAAACCATGAAATGAGACTCCAATTTGTAAATGGATAGCTTGGGCCTAAATGCTATCCTTCTTAGGATCAACCGAAGAAAACTTTGTATATGAATAAATACAAGCAGGTCGTAACATGCAACAGAATTAAATGGAATCATAATAAAATAGAACACCAAGATTTGCGTGAAAAACCCCACTAATGTGAAGAGTAAAAATCATGGGGCAAACCAGAGAACATCCACTATAAGAATAATGAATATACAAATCTCAAAGTCTCTTGCCCAAAACCCAAGCAACAATCACAAGAGAATAATTGGGATACAAGGATTACGTCATTGTGCACAATATCCAAAAATCTCCCCAAGTAATCACAGTAAGAATCTATCGTAGATCTGATCTAACATGGGATGAGAACACTATCTAGATGATTGAGAACAATCTCTCTGCGTTTATTTTCTTCCATTCCATTCTCTTGTTTTTCTGCCATTTTCTTCTCTTTTTAAATCACATTATTGTTGTAGTTTTCTGCCCCTGTAGTTTTTTGCCTTTGTTTTGCAGCCACCACAACCCTCTTATTAGATTTAGGTTTTGGTTCAAAGAGAGGTGGGTTATGGGTTGTTAAAGCCTATTATGGGCTGAACTCATGGGCTGTCAGCCCAACAACGTCCCCCTTCAGCCTATAAGGAGGTTGTCTAATGACTCCTCAATGTGAAACCGTGCCGACCAACTATCGACACATCTCTTGCCTTTCTTTCAGTAAGATCTTTGTCAATATGTCTACTTCATTATCATCTGTATGAATTTTCTGAAGTTGCATCTGTTTCTCTTCAAGTACATTTCGAATACAGTGATATTTGACATCTATATGCTTTGACTTGGAATGAAAAGTTGAGTTCTTACACAAATGAATGACACTCTAGCTATTATAATTCACCACATAGTTTTCCTATTTCAGCCCCAATTCTGGTAAGAATTTTTTCATCCATAACTTTTTTTTTGCAAACCTCTGTAACAGTAATATATTCTGCCTTTGTGGTGGAGACAGTAATATACATTTACAATCTAGATTGCCATGACAGAGTTCCCCCTGCAAAAGTAAGTATAAACGTGATGTGGACTTCCTCATATCAATATCTCTTGTCATATCTGCATCTGTGTAACCTGTCAACACAAATAGTCCATCTCTAAAGCTTAAACAAACTTTAGAGCTTCCTCTGAGATATCTAAGGATCCATTCACTGTTGCTTAGTGCTCTTTGCTTGGATTTGCAAGAAATCTACTAGTTATACTCACTGCAATGTCTAACCTCATATATACCATTTGTATATATTAAACTTTCAACTGTTGAAGCATAATGAACATTTTGCATTTTCTCCTTCTCCTCATCATTTGACGGACTCTATTCTGAGCATAACTTGAAGTGACCTGCAAGAGGAGAACCAACCCTCTCTCTTAAAAAGAGCTTGCAATCCCTTTTTGCTCATATGTCCTAGTCGCCTATGTCTTAACTTCATGCTGAAGTCTTTTTCTGTAACATTCAACTACTCACCACAAGCTTTGGTCTGCAACATGTATAAAGTATGACATTTCTTCCCACTAGCCACAATAGGAGAACACTTACTAAGCTTCCATTGTCTTTTGTAAAATATGTTATCATAGTCTTCATCATCGAGTTTTCGAACTGAAATTAAATTCAGCCTCAATTTAATCACATGCCTCATATCCTTAAGCACTAACTTATAGCCAAGGTTGTCTTTATATGGATATCACCTATGCCAATGATGTTTGTCGTGCCATAATTGGCCATCTTGACAACACCAAAATTTTCAGACTTGTAGATAGCAAAAAAACTCCCTTCATGGTGTAGCATGATAAGAAGCACCTGTATCAATCACCGACTCAAGATCCTGACGCAAAAAAAAAAAATCATCAGAATGAGACAAAATCAAATAATCACCACCCTGCATTGTAGTTGTGATATTATCTTTTGACTATTTATATTCCACTTTTTTTCCCTTTTTCTTGCTTTCTTCGGTTGCTTACATTAATTCTTATAATATCCTTTCTTACCATAATTATAACAAACAATATCTTTTTTTGATCTTAACTTGCTTCTACCCATGCGTGAACTGCTTTTATCCTTGGACTTTGACATTTCTCTATTCTTTGAGATAAGTATCTGTGAATTATTTTGAGATGTTGCTAAATTTTTTCTTCTCAACTCCTCATTTAACAAACTGCTTGTTACTTAACTCACGATGACAACATCATTTGGCGTAGAATTATTGAGGGAAACCACCAGTGTCTCCCAACTTTTTGACAAAGAACTGTGAAGTAACAATGCCTACAACTCATCATCAAGAGAGATTTTCATAGAGGATAACTGGTTAGTGATACTCTACATTTCATTCAAAAGCTCAGTAATAGAATTACCCTCTTTATATTTTAGGTTTACAAGTTTTCTGATTAAAAAAACTTTGTTGCTAGCTATTTTTCTTTTATAGAGACCTTTTAACTTTTTCCAAAGAGAATATGCAGAACTTTCAATAGAAACATGGTGAAAGACACTATCATCGAGCCACCGTCGAATAAACTCAACTGTTTTTCGATCTAACATCTTCCACTCATCATCTATCATAGTTACGAGCTTTGCACTATCCCCTGCAAAGGTCCATACAAATATTTGTAATACAAGAGATCTTTCATTCTTGGTTTCCACATCATTCAATTGTTTTTATTCAAGCTGATCATGTTAGAAACACTACCGGCATCCATGTTCGAATACAAAAATTAAATCACTAAAACCCTGCTCTGATCCCAGTTGTTAGGATAAACCGAAGAAAACTTTGTATACGAATAAATACAAGCAGGTCGTAACAAGCAATAGAATTAAATTGAATCACAATAAAGGGTAAAAATCACAGGGCAAACCAGAGCAAATCCAGAATATACAAATATCATAATTTCTAACCCAAAACCCAAGCAATAATTATAAGAGAATAACTGAGATACAAGGATTATGTCACTGTACATAATATCCAAAATCTTTCTAAGTAATCACAGTAAGAATCTATTGTAGATCTGATCTAACCTGAGATGAGAATACTATCTAGGTGATTGAGAATAGTTTCTCTATGTTGTCATTATCTTTCGTTTCCTTCTCTTATTTTTTTATCATTTTCTTCTTTTTTTAATCTAGATTTTGATTAAAAGAGAGATAGGCTATGGATTATTAAAGTCCGTTATGAGTTGAACTCATGCCTGTCTGGCTAACATTTCTTTGAGCCTCTGATAGGAACCCCTTGTCACCTCATTTATTTCAGTTTTAGATATTCGCACGAGGTGGAGGACAGAAAATGGCTGTTAAGTCCATATATGGAAGGATAAATGGAAGCGTGTGATCTGTTCACGGCAAATGGGTTGAGATGGAATAAAGAGCTCAGTTGCCAAGTGTTTTAGCAGCAACAACAAAGGCAACACAGCAGATTACCCTTTAAGCATGCCCGACCAGCAAGGTCAACTAGTCGGCAATCACACAGTAAAAAAATGGGCATTCGATGGAAGGGATATTGACAAAAAAAAGGCAGGCACTCAAATGGCTTTTATTAAAGATCCATCCTGAGAAGAGAACTTGTATCCAGAGAGCCTCTGTGTTGCTCTACCGACAAAGAAAATTTGTTGGGAGAGGACTACTGTTGGAACTCATGGTTAGAGTGCTTCTACAAAGTTATCATCTTACACATCGTTCCACTAGTGGAGACCAAAACTGCTGTTGTTTGTGTATCCTCAACAATAAAATTTTACGACAAAAAAACCTATTCAGTTTAAGGTACACTCGAACGTATGCCGCAGATATTGGATGATGATCAGATGGAAATGGTGGCTGTCATTGCTTGGACCATCTGAGAAAGCAGGAACAGATGGATTCCTGATAGAAAAGAGGTGAGCCTTGTCATACTGTTGCAGAATGCTTTAAATCCTGGGTAGGACTATAAAAGAGAGAACATGATATAAGGTAAGGCCCATGGCAACTAAGCATCCATGGTCTCTCCCACCAAGAAGTGATACAGCAAACCTTAATTCAGATGGGATTGGTTTGGGATTTACAAACCCAGACTAGAACGGCAGAACACATGCATGGAGGAAATTTTCCACTGTCATTTCATGCACAAACTGTTTAAAAAGCAGCCAAGTGCACAATGTTCTCGCCAATGTAGGTTCTAGGAAAGATTTATTATATATCCTACAAGTAAAGATGTTGTTTTCCGGACTCGAATGAACAATTAATCAACTGTTAATAGTGCCAAATAATTTGAGAGGAGACAATGATGATGCATCTAAGCTTGATTTCTTGCAGGGCACACTCTATATGTAGCTGAGAACTCTGAGAATTTCCATGTTAGCCGTGCTAAAAAGGGAGGGGAAGTCATGTAGCTCATTTATTAGCACAGGAGACCAGTAGCGTATATTTCAGGGGAGATGCTCTGGGGTGGAAACTCTCCTGACATTACTGCAGAAGCTATTCGAGCTCATGTAGTTTGTTGACAATTGGGGTGTTCGAATGAAGTCATCCTTATTTATTCTCAAAATGGGATCTTGCACACCATTTCCCGATCTCGTCCTCCCTCCTATAACTTTCCTAAGTCATGCGTAGCAATCTAAAAGAGCATTTGTGCGTGCATTCAATCTACCAACTAGTTGCTACAACAAATGATGCACCATAATCGCATCGAGACAAAGCACATCCGAGAAACCCCTAATCTAAGTTGAGGCGGGCAAGTCCAATGCTCCGACTCCAAGAAAGCAACCAAATTCCACGAACTACAACATCTGAGCACCAATCGATTATAAGGAGGGCAGGGCGAGGAGGAGAACCTGGAAGACGACGGCGACGAATCCGAGGTCGGGAGGCGGAGCAGAAGAGGAGGTCGGAGCATCGGTTCCTTTTTAGCGTTTAACCCCTTTCAGCTTTTCCCTCTTCGTTTCGCATCCTTTTCTTTCCTTCCCTGCGGGGGAGTGTTTGTTTACACTGACATCCCTGAACAATTTATTATCCTATAGAGTGTGATATAAAGAGCCCTCAAAAACAAAATATGAATCTGCAAGGGTGTAAATATAAAAAAGCCTCGAAGACATTGCAACATATTTAATTCAATTTTGTCACACCTCAATGGCTACAATTATTTTGGGTGTCATATTTCATCGCAGTAATGGTTGGCTATCTTTGGTTCGAGCGTTGCCATCGATGTGTTAGGTGGATGTCACGCACTCGCGTCCACTATTAGAGTCATGGAGACCAGGATTTGGCGCGCGGTCGCTCTCCGAGATGACCCATCCTGGCTCGGTGCGACGCGCCGCACCACTAAATCCTTGCGAGCCGCAGCCAATTCCACGAGCGCAATTGATTTCTCTGTCGATGCCAATTGCGGCTGCTGCTTCCACGCGCCCGCCTCCCTCCGCTGGCTGACTCCCAAGTGAGCGAGTGCAACTGTTCCTTGATCTCTTCCGGTGTGGAAGTATCGGTGCGGCCGCAAAAGAAATCCGAAAGAATTAGATCCCTGAGCAACAACTTGACATGGCTTTCCATGGAATTTGATTCCATCCCCAAAGAAGTCTTGCATCAGATGCACTCAATGTGATAGGCAAAAGGTCGCAAAGGGGGTGGGGTGGGGGCATAGTCTAGTGCATGCAGGTATGCAGCATGCTGCTCTGGTTCTCTGGACCTTTCATTTGCAGCTCAGCTTGACTTTGCTTGGTGCGAGATCTCTGGCTGTGCTGGCTCACGAGGAAAAGAACAAGGGAGGGGTTGCCATCAAACCCACTCAGATTTGAGCTGTTGTGCTCCAGGACATGTTGCTGCTGTGGAGATAAGTATGCACAAACCTCTTCTAGATGGCTTGTCCTTTTCTTCTTTTTCTATTCTGCTGGCCTAACCTTTTTTCTCCGTGAGAACCAAAGGTGCGGCTTTTGGAGTTGTTCTTGCATGGTGGTCTCGGTGCTCATCCAAGATTAACACCAATGGGAGATTAGCAAGTTCCTCCATGTTTTTGTGTGAGGACTCCACACAACATTTGAAGGAAACCAGTGAGCAAACAGGTGATGTGTTTAGATTTAAGGTTAAGTGGAGCTTCGTTTCAAGGTCTCAACACCACACTATGCTGAGTACTTAGCCCTCATCATCATCTTCTACTGCTGTGTATCACCCTAATTCTCAGTGCCATGCCCTCAAAGTACTGGCCATCATTTAACTCAATAGAAATTAATGCTGAGTTGACTAACAAGCTGCAAAAAACACTTTTGTAACACAATCTGACATGAAATAATTCAGCCTTGTTAATCTTTAGAAAACACTTGTGAATCAACAAGAGCTATTTCTAGGGGATTACTTTGTACAAGGTTTCTGTGTTGATGAGATATGGCTTGAAAATATGTATCACATGATTCTTCTAAACCATGAGGCCTAACAATGCTATACAGAACAGTAGGCACTCTACATTTTCCATATGATGAAATGTCTCAGTTTGTTCTTAAAATTGGAGGCACACAATTTCTTGTTTATCCCTATAAATTTACGTTCAGTAAATAAAAAAAAAATTGCATACATGCCTTTATATTAATCTTCACTATATTTTATATGATTTTTTTAACATAAATTAGTTGTACATGTGGAGGGCCCAAATTTCATTGATTTTAAATTTGCAAGCATAGATAAGTAAATAATAAAAAAAAAGCCTTCCATTATTTTATTATGGGACCAAAACAAACTTGGTTAAACAATTCAATTGGATCTTAAAGACCCATTTGTTTGGCTTCCTTTCACTTTGTTTCTAGTGGCGTTGGTGACCTTTCTTTTAATGGGACATGATAAGCAAACCACTTTGCTATGGCAGTTGATTCAGTTACAGGAACTCAGGTCACTTCAACCTTGTATTTTATACTTCATTTGCATCATACAACTTGACTTTGGTGGAGATCAAATATTTTTTGCTATTTCCAAAGGGCAAGAGAAGGGATAAATATTTTATGTTTAGCTCAGGTAAGGGTAAGAGAAATACAAGAAGACAAATCTAATTTTGATTTGTAATCTAATGTGTAAATTCTTGGTGTATGTAGATATACTGCAAGTGAATTATTTCTCATGGAGAGGAATAATCAAGATAATTTAGTGGCCAAAGATGTGATGGAATGATGTGTAGACAAAGATATGTTATTGATGATTGGAAATCTGAACAAACAAATCTGTTGCTATCAAACCTTGAAAAATTGTGTTCATGTGTTTTGCATACTTTCTTTTATTCTTTTCCTCAAAAGAGGATTTACAAAAGGGAATGACTATAGTAGAAGGGAAAGAATCTGTGAGTATCAGAAGAAACCAATTCAAAATAGTTTGTGCATTCTTTGAAGTATTATTGTCATTTTATGGAGGACATAAAAACATTAAACATTGATTAGAGAGAAAGAGAGTCGTGAAAGAAACCACAAGTAATCCAATTGTTTCTTGTTAACCTAAAAATTAATGACACGACACAACACGTGTTGCTTGCTTGAGCACAAATGTGAATGGTCCTATTGCAGGGGACCCCTCCCATCATTTGGAATAATTCTTTATATCCATTTAGGAAAAAAGAATCCCAAAAATTCAACTCAAAACAATAGATATTAGAAAAAAGAGAGATAAAAAGGCTCAAGGGGGAGGGGGAGGGGGAGGGGGAGTGGGAGTGGAGAAGAGAGAAGAGAAGAGAAGAGAAGAGGAGAAAGATGGGGTGGTTATTCTAGGAAGAATAAAGACAGTAGTTTAATTCCCGAAGGGGCCTCCTTTCCTCTTTTTCCCCTTCTCATCCGCTTCCTTTCCCAAAACCGATCGTGTAAGTCTACGTCTCTTTCCCTCCTCGTCGGCTTCGAGATCTCCATCTCTTTCCTTCCTCTTCGCTGTAATTTTTCCTTCAGTTGATGGAAAATGAGCTTTATCTTGGTCCATGGATGCTAAAGATGGGATTTTTCTTCTGCTTTTGATCTCAGGGAGAGAGGGGGGGGGGGACAAATCGGAAGGAGAAGAAGCGAATTTGTGTGTAAAGTTTGAATCTTTTAGCTGGGATCTATGTTTTATGGGTTAATTTTTTGGGGCAGGTTCTTGGTTCCGATGTTTTGATCTCTGAGGTCTATTTTTTCTCTCCCTTTTCCCCTCTTTTCTTCTTCTTCTTCTTCTGATAGCACAGCATTCACGGAGCCCATCTGATAAGATTGGTGGGTTGCATTTTTCCGCCATCCAGATCGGCGATTCGGTGGGTTTGCCTTTTGACAGATCGAAACCGGCCAAAAAGATTCGATTTTTATGGGCTTAACTTGTATATCGTTCCATTTTTTCGATGCTTAATCATGGATTGTAGATCTCATTTATGTCGGAAAACATATAAAAAATCGCATTTTTCTCTAACCTGGTGGGGTTTATCTTTCATTTATTGTCCGGTTTGAGGTTTGGATTATACCTCGTAAGGGTAGATAGGCATCTGAGAGTTTCTCCTTATTGGAGATTAGGTCTTGTTGTTTAGTTTGGGATTTTGCAAGATATGTTGGAAGACCGCCCTTATCTGATCTCCAGGGTGTTTGAGAGCACCTCTGAGCAAGAATCCAATTGGCACTACTTGGCCTACCATTTCCATGAGGCCTCGGACAGCAAGAAACGCCTGCTGAATGAGGAATTAGGGGAAGAGCAGGGAGAGCAAGAGGATCGAGGGAAACGGAAGAAGTCTCTTCACCAACCTGAGACCCCTGACATCGCAGACATGGAGTGGCATCTTGACAATTCTGATGACCAGAAAAGTGATGAAGAATACAGCGATCCAAACTACTTCAACCGGCTCACCAGAGATATGCTAGTAAGCTGCCTTGTGCTACTCTCTCGGTCCAATTACGGCGCGGTTGCATCCGTCAACCGTGTCTTCCGCTCAATGATTTGGAGCGGGGAGCTCTACCGGCGACGGCGCCAGCTGGGGATTACCGAGCACTGGGTCTATTTCTCCTGCAATGCCCTTGAATGGGAGGCATACGATCCCTACCGTGGACGTTGGGTTGCAGTTCCTAAGATGCCCCCTAGTCCTACTGAAAGCTTTACTCTATCAGATAAAGAGTCGCTTGCTGTGGGCACTGAGCTCCTTGTTTTCGGTCGGGAGGTGAATTCCTACATTGTTCTGAGATATAGCATTTTGACCAACTCTTGGTCCCCTGGAGTTGTAATGAATTCACCTAGATGTCTATTTGGATCTTCCAGTCTTGGAGGGAAAGCTATTGTAGCTGGTGGCACCAATGGTCCCGCTACTCTGAGCTCCGCAGAGCTCTACGATTGTGAAACTAAGACTTGGGAGACCCTTCCTACCATGAATAGAGCACGGCGGATGTGTTCAGGTGTATTCATGGATGGGAAGTTTTATGTCATTGGTGGAATGACTAGTGACAATGAGGTGTTGACGTGCGGGGAAGAGTATGATCTGGAGCAACGTTCATGGCGGCTGATTCCAAACATGTCTGCGGGTCTCAATGGTGCAAGTGGTGCACCACCACTTGTAGCTGTGGTGAACAATGAGCTTTATGCAGCTCACTATGCTGATAAGGAGGTAATGAAGTATAATAAGGAGAATAATACATGGGTCAGATTGGGAAAGTTGCCCGAGAGGTCTGACTCAGTGAATGGCTGGGGCCTCGCGTTCCGAGCATGTGGTGAGCGACTAATAGTAATTGGTGGGCAGCGAGGATCTCAGGGAGGGATGATTGAGCTAAATTCTTGGATTCCAGATGGAGGGCCACCCAAGTGGAATATCATTGCCAATAAGCATTCAGGAAACTTTGTTTTTAACTGCGCCGTTATGGGCTGCTGATTTCTCTAATTTATTGCAACTTGTATTTTACTTCTTGCAAGAAGGATGCACAATGCTGTCTTGTAAGAGGACTTAGAGGAGCATAAATCACTAATTCTGCCTGAACGGTAGTTTCTGCTTTTTTCTGAAATTTTATTTGAACTGATGGTTCAACTGAGATCTGTCATTTACAGAATTCTTGATTATTGTCATTTTTGTATTCAGTTTCACCCCATTCACTATTTTGAGTTGGATCTATTTGAACGATTCTAGGATATAGGAACACGCAGGACAATCTTAGATCAACAATATGCGATGCAGTTCAACAGTCCCGGACAAAGTCTTTTGTTATGCTTATTTCAAACAGTGTCGATTAAGTGGTTCAAAGTGTTTAAAATGAACATGCAGCTATTCTTTCATCAGAATTTATCCTTACTGCATCACTCTCATTCATTGGACCTTGTTAAACTTGTGGTCTAATTCTTGTGCTGAGAAGTTGTATCTGTCGTTGATCTCTGGTTTTATCTTTATCTAATACATGTATTGGTGGGTTAAAAATCTGCAAGTGAGCCTCTGATCTTTGTTTAGTTTCTGTTGAAAAGTTGCGTCGGTGTTGGTGCTAATTCAGTTGTGCCATAATTATGTCGATACCGTACCAAAGTGATTGAATTGCGCTAACGAATTTGTTGTTTGAAACCCCAAAATCTAATCTTATTACTAACTATATTTTGTTTCAGATTGAGATGGTCACTAAATTAAGTTTGCCAAATTTTTGAACAGGCTACCTTTCTATGTGAAGATGCATGGTGCCTATATGCCTTCTTTTACAAGAGACTTGGAGCTTATTAATTGCAGCAATCTCCTGAAATGTTGAAGTAACTAATTGGTAGTATTATTTCCTAACAAATGAATTGCTTTGATATTGGGATCTACTGTTCCTTTGCATGTCTCCTTTCTCCCTTTTTTTTCTAATAACAATATATTCTTGTTCTTATGACCACATTTTTCATGTTCTTCATTGATGCTTCATATGAAATTATCTTCTGATGTAAAAAGGCTGAAGCTTCATCTTTGATTCATCACTTATATGATTTCGTTCTTCATCTTCCTTTTTGCATCTGTGGATCCATTAGACATTTTTTCGTTATTATCTTAAACAACATTATGAATGTTTGTTGGTAATTCCTCTTATTAATAAGATGAAATAGATATATTAGGCATAAAATGTTTTTTATAATATGTGACAAATGGAGATAACTATTTTGATACGAGAATTACGTAACATCATCTGGATTTCACGTGTTGATTTTTCATCGGAATTCGACATGAATCTAAGATCACATGATGCCAACCATGGCTTCACTGACTGCACTTCAGTGGCAGAAGAGGACGGCGGCGAGCGGCCACCTCCGAGTCGAGAGTACAGTCCACAGAACACAGTGGTCGGCAGAGACAGCACCTGAGGCCTCATCGAAAGTGCAACGACATGACGGATGGCTTTTCGATGCACGCAGGTCTGCATGCGTGTTGCTGTCGTCTCCTTCCTTTTTCCAGTCTCATGATCGAAGTCCTTTGTTTCGATGTGAGCCGTGCAG